TGGCGTGTTTGTTGTTAAAATAGTATGTATATAAACTTGTGTCATCCTGTCACTCAAAAATCACCATCAATAGGTGAATTCAGAAACACACATACATGCGCGCTCACATGTAGACGAACGCAAACTCGCGCACGCGCCTCTTTGGAGCTGCTTTTATAAAATGAAATCAACGTTCGGAACATAAGCTAGCATGAGACAACCAAGCGTCTTTCTCCCATGGTTCTTACGATTGGACTTGCTTAACATATAACGTATGTTTACAACTTTAGCTCCATCAAAACACCCTCACACAGCCTCCATGCGCGCACACACCCCCCGATTCTCGCTGTCATCGGGGAGGAAAACACTGTCATTAGGCAATGTTTCTCTAGTGTATTTGTCATTGTTCATTGACCCACTCACCCTCTCAGTGGCGGTGCCGGTTTGATGCCTTCTCCGCCGCTATCGAGAGTGTGTGTTTCCCGATAGTCGAAGAGTGAGCGTAGGGTGTCCGCCATGTTCACGCTGGTTTTCCGCCGCCGCTCCGTTCAGCCTCTCTCGCTTCTCTCCTGCCGCTCGTCTGGCTCACACCAAGGTTATTGCAGCCGCTACCACCGCGGCGAGGCAAAGAGGTGAGCGGTACGCGGCGGGAAGCGGAGTATCACCACAAGGTAGGATAGTGTGTCTTTTGAGTGAGTTGAAAACGAACAAAGCTTGGATTTATAAACAATTAGTTTGCATTGCCGCACCATTTGGCAACAAACATCGAGCTGTGAGGCACTTTTAGTAAATACTCTGTTGCTAGCCACCCCTACATAGGGAATGGACTCGCTCATCAAGCAGCTGAAAAAAAGTAGACCGTTTCAAGAAGAGTGATTAGCTCGCTAACTGAGTGAAGAAATAAAGGAAATAAAGTAGTGTCGAAGAGAAACATTCAGATAAAATTTGCTTTTTGAATAGAATCCCATTAAGGCTGACTGAAAAACATTCTCATCCACACTATACTGTGCCAGTTATAGATAAATATTCGTTATGATTTATTGAAAAAGTCTAATGTGTACACTGTGCTTTCTGTCTACAATATACGTGATAAAATCCTTTATTAATAATGTGTTTATGAAACAGATATTACAATTATTATATTTCAAAATCCAAGTTATATGGGCACAGACCTCCCAAATAACATCTATATGATCGGCTTTTTGACAACAAAAAGGTTCAGGAAATGTAACCACATTGTCTTTAACAATAGTACCCAACACCTTATATAAAACCACATTTTTTGTGTGTTGATATTGGTAGTTTATATCATAAACAGTTTTTTTCATTCTTCTAGTGGGAACTTACCAAATTAGATGGGTTCACATATAAAAACAGAGAACTCACCTTCATTATTGACATTGAGACAAACAAAAATGAAGGCTCTTTAGAGCCATATGACGTAAACAATTTATGATTAAAATCGTTAATTGTTATTTTATTTATTTCTGAAACATTTTGGACTGTTTATTTATTGTGTCTTAATTTATCTTATGTACATTGCCTTGTGTTTTTATGCTGCTGCAACGCAAACATTTCCCAAATTGGGATTAATAAAGTACTTATCTATCTATCTATTTATATATATATATATATATATATATCTAAAGGGGAAGCATAATTGTAATGATAAAATTATTTCTTTTAAAATACAAATCAATCATGATCCTATAGAAAATGTTTCCATCATCTCTTTTGTCATTGGATTATTGGGGGAGAAATCGATGACAAAACCTGTAATAATTGCACAGCCATTTTTTTTACATATATGCAAATGTAAAATCATAAACATAACAAGCACTTGTAATGTTTGGCTCTATGAAACCTGATGTACTTATATGATTCTGTTTTCTTCAAGGTTGTGTCTTCCTGGTCGAATGTAGTTATTGTAAGTCGCTTTGGATAAAAGCGTCAGCTAAATGCAATGTAATAATGTAACAAGGCTGCACAGAGCAGATCATCTTAATATAAAGAAAAATCTGCTTTTATTACTTGCTTTTAATGTATTCTATTGAAATCAGTCTTAAAACATTGTGATTTCTGTATTACTATAACCAGTCAAATAGTGCAAAATGTGTATTGATGATATATTTTATTATTTTTCCAAGGGTTCCAATTGTTATTGTTATTAGCTTAGTGTATAAACAACTGCTGCATAGTTGTCTTTCCCAACCAACATGAACTCAAATAAAGGTACTCAATATAAAACTACTGTAGCCTTACACATTTGTAAAGGTGCATACTGTCTTCATAACAGCAAATCACTAACATTTCAATGGAGCATTTTCAGTGAGTTTTAATTACACTTCCTATTTGCTCCCAATGGCAAATCTAAAGCCATAATGATGACAGAGTCAATTACACATGCAAAATAGCTCACTGTGAATTGTGGCTGTTGGTCACACTACTCCATAAATGCTCTGAAAGTTCCATTAATAATGCATAAAGAGGTTAACTATGAAGACGAGAGGAGAGAGAACATTTAAGGATATTAGCCATGTATTTAGATCAACAATATAATTCATGTTTTTTCTTCTTTTCATTACATTCCTTATATTCTGAGATCAGATCAAATAAGCCGCAAACATCCCTCGTATTTAAATTAGGCAGGAATTAGTCTGATGCCACTACAGTTGCTGTCTGGAACTAAGATTTCGAAGTGAGAAATGTTAAGTTCAACTCAGACACGTATTAAGTTGGTTAATCTCAGCTAGTGTTTTGTGTTTCCTGTCCATTTAGCATCATTTGCCATCTCAGGCTGGATATTTCTGAACTCATTATTAATAACACAATTACCCTTATAGAAATGCTCTCTAAGGGTACCGCAATATGACCTTGAGTTTTAAGACATCATGCACCAACATATCAATATAAATTTGATCCTGACAGTGGCACTAGGCAAAGGTCAGGGGATCACCAAGAATCATCACCTGGGGGACATAATTAACCATTCATAACTTTTTAGCAATCACACAATCTTGCTCCAGCCCAAAGTGGTCAGAGTATAGACAGACACTGATAATGGGTCAAAAGGACAACTTTGAGCCTAAAATTAAAATGCTACAATACCAAAACATTCTCACACAACACCAACTCATCATATTTATACACTTGGTCATCACTTGGTTGAGGGTAGTTTTTAAAACGTGCATTGTAATTCAATAGACATCAACAGATGGTTGATTTTGGGATTTCAGGAAAAATAATTTAGACACAGAGTGGGATAGAGTCAAAAATGCTTGGTTAGGTTAAGGAAAAGATCAGGGTTTGGTTTATAATAAGTATACGTTTTACATCAGTTAAGTTCATAAATTAAATAATGTGTGTCAGCATAGATGTTATTACTGAACAAGTACAGGTACGTTTTGGTGTGTAGTTTTAAAGACACTTGGTTAACTGCTGCCATTTATGCCCAGTAGATATAACCGCAACAGAGTAAAGTGACAAATGCTTTCGTCCAGGCAGTAAAATGTACCTATTTTTGTAAATAATCGAGATAGCTATTAAAGATCTGTGGAACAGTATTTTTGACATCTTTCTCAACTGAATTAATCCATTGCATTGTCCCACCCTAATAGGCAAAGAGATAATTAAAGGATGGCAGCTGTGTCTAGAAGAGAAAATCCTGTTACTGTTGTTTAGAAAGGATAAAAAAGTAGCCTACACTGTATGGGTCAAATCTGGCTCTACACCGTTGGGGGGCCTTGTATCAAAAGCGGGAGGGGTTATTTCAGCTTCCCAGTGTTCCAGAAAGGAAAGGCCTGTTCATTTTGTGCATAGACAATGGTGTCTGATTGGAATTTGGAGCCTTGGATAGACTTAAAACGCTTATGAATCATCAATTAAAACAATGAGCAGCTGGGCTAGAGATTATCCTTGAAAACATGACAAAGGTACAAGGCAGAGTTCAACAAACCCTGAACCGAATACGTGGAATAAAATAATACTTAAATTTAATTGTTGGGTTCTTGGTCTCTCTTGGATACATTCAACAGGGATGGCGCTGTTCTCTAAATCATGTTCTGAATTGACCACAGCTCTGTTAAGCCTCTTCTCAATAATACAGGTTATTGTAGTATTTAGAGAAATGTACACTGAAAATACAAAAACGTTGACTCAATTAAAGGTATTATGTCATCAAATATAACTGTATCAAATGAGTTCAAAGCAATAATATTAAGTTGAATCTAATATTTTACATTTAAACTTAATTGTATTGCTTTTAAGTCTGAATCTGTTGACATTTAATTTAAGTAATTATTTGTTTTTATTTTTGCAGTGTACCCCATCTATCATATTGAATTGTTCAACTTTTTTTAATGATTTAGCAAAAATGTAACTCCATTTCAGATTATTCAAACTCTGTTTCTTAACAATTAGATGCAAAAATGTAAAGTGTATGTTCTGATATGAGCAGCAGTCAACAGTAATTAAAACATTTGTTTCTAAAGTTCCCTTTTAACTGTTCTTTGCCTTCTACAGACTGAATGTTAGGGTACCTTGACCATCTTTGTTAAATGTGTCCCATCTGAGTTCCCTAGACAATAATACTAACTTTTTAGGGTAAGATACATTTAGATTTCACTATTTTCATTAACCCTCTTAGTCATACTTTTGAAGGAAAAAATCTCTGCTCCAGTCGAATAACAAAGAAATGATGTCCTTTCTGTCTTTTCCTAACCACTGTCTTGACTGGGATGTGATGTGAAACATGAAAGAGACAACTTTGATGCTAACAGAATCCGACTGTATCTACATTAGGCTGCAAGATTATTTAAGGTGGGTGTTATTGACCTAGGTCTGCTGTTGCTTTACATGTTGCTGCTGCAAGGAATTGTGGGAACCCATTATCTCCGTAAAGGATAGTCCGGTGAACCCTATGCTAAAGGAGAAAAGCAAAGCACCTTTCCTTAGCATTTAGATAATTAACTCTTACCATGGCTGTCACTTAGTTTAGGGTCATGTCACTCAGTAAGGAACTTTTCTAACAAAAAAGACAACTTGGTTGCAGCCGTTGAAATCTTTGATGGTACTGACAGCTGACCTAATCCATCTTTAATATCCAATCCCCTCATCATCTGTCAATAACTGTATATTACAGGCCATGACTTGGCACTGAAGCCAACATCAGCCTAAGTCTAGTCCTTTGTTTTTGAACACATGAAAAATATATGATTCAAACAAACAAGAGAATCTTTAACATACAGCCAGCTGTGCCTCAAGCACCTGTTAACCTGCATTGCTGAAAAACAGCCTTTGGCTGAAACTCACTTTAATATGCACTGTAAAGATAATAAATGATGAAGAACCTAAACTAGTGGAATATGGAACCACTTGAAAAATAGTGAAGACACATGTCCTGATACAAACAGGAGGAAGTAACTGTCATCAAGGAGCTTAGAAATGATGCTCGTCCGAGATAATACAAAAGCAGAAGGATGTGAGAGGAAATGTATGGAGATCTTGGAGCTGCTGAATGAGTTTGGTTTAATTGTAATTCTGCTCTGTTTGCGTGTGCACACTATCTTGAACACTTCATCACCCGCACCAATACCCTCAACACATGTGTGTATTTACGTACACAAAACTACACACACACAGACACACACACACACTCACAGACACATCCACACACAGCTACACAATCCTCAGTGCACATTTACAGCAACACAAAATTATACAGTCCTCACACACACACCCTCTTCCACAGCACACACACACACACACACACACACACACACACACACACACACACACACACACACACACACACACACACACACACACACACACACACACACACACACACACACACACACACAGCATTCATTTCCCTTTCATTCAGCACAGGCACATATTGTGCTGCTGTAACACACACACACACACACACACACACACACACACACACACACACACACACACACCATTTGCAGAGCTTGCTCCTAGCTCTCCTCACACACACACACACACACACACACACACACACACACACACACACACACACACACACACACACACACCCCTCCCCCTCTATCTCTGTCAGATATATACACACACACACACACACACACACACACACACGCACATACACACACACACAGCCACACAAACAAGTACACGCGCATTCCCTCCTACGCAGGCGCGTTCACACACACACAAACATGCACACACACACACACACACACACAACCTCTCTTTCCCTTTACACACACACACACACAGACACACACACACACACACACACACACACACACACACACACACACACACACACACACACACACACACACACACACACACACACACACACATCTCATGTACACCCCTCCCCCACTGTTACTCTCACACACGTACGTGTCCTCTCTCTCTCTTTCTCTTCCTTGCTCGCTCATTCACTCTCCCTCTCTCTCTCTCTCTTACACACACACACACACACACACACACACACACACACACACACACACACACACACACACAGGAACAAACACACACACACTCTATTGCTCTGCTTCTCTCACTCACACAGGAACAAACACACACACAGGAACACACACATTCACAGGCACACATTCACACACACATTCACACACACACACACACACACACACACACACACAGTCTCCTGCTTGCTCTTTCTCCCCTCCCTCTGTCTGTCTCTCTTTCTCTCTCTCACACACACACACACACACACACACACACACACACACACACACACACACACACACACACACACACACACACACACACACAGAGACACACAGAGACACACACACACATGCGCAAACACACAGAAACTCTTTCCTGCCCTCTCTCCCCTTCTCTTTTTTCATCTCTCTCAGTCACACATACACCCACGTGCACACGAATGCGCAAGCACACAGACACATGCGCACAAGCACACACAGAGACACACATACACTCATTTTCTCTCTGAGACTCTCTCACCCTGTAACACACATGCATATTTCCTCTCTTGCTCGCTACACACAGTCTCTCTCTTTTTCGGTGACACACACACACACACACACACACACACACACACACCTCCCCCCTCTTCCACAGGCATCCTGGCTGCCACTCCTTCCCTAACAACCACACACACAAACGAAAAGATGCACACACACACACACACACACACACACACACACACTCACACACACACAAACACATAAACAAACACACACACAGACACACACCCTTTTAAACACACACCCCAACCCTTTCGCTCAAACACACATCCTGTCTTTGCTTACAGTTAAACATAGACACACACACACACACACACACACACACACACACACACACACACACACACACACACACACACACACACACACACACACACACACACACACACACACACACACACACACACACACACACACACACACACACACACACACACACACACACAACAAATTATAATAACACTGCTAATATTCAAACACATTTTTCTCACATAATTTTTTCATGCACCAAATAGTCCAGTATTTACGCACACTAATCATCACCAACAGTTGTGAGACAACCTGTTTTTAAGTCACACATATACAAGAGACAACTCAAGTTAAAGCCAAGATCAATTTATTTCAACTCAAGAATCAAGACAATAATAAATACGTACACCACACCAAAGTTAAGGAAAAACAATAAAGACTGTACATTATTTTGATTATATACCCACAATGCATCGTGGTATTATTGTGTTCTTAAATAAAAAAACAATCATTGAGCTGTGTCCTGGTTGACCTTGTATTAATATTGTTTAAATATAACTGCTCTTGCTGGTCTATGCCTATAACGTTGTAAGCCCCTTTTAGACAAAAAAATCATTTGTGATGTGTACATTATCTGCCAATTTTAAGGGCATTGTTTTTTGTTTTAAGGTAACATTTGAAGTTTTCATCCATTTCTTTATTGATTCCTGATAAAATGTTATTTTCTCTTAAAGTAGTCCTACAAAGGTTTTTTACCATCATCGCAGCTTCATAGTCATCTCAGAGACTGAACCAATGTAAAATGTCTGCTTAATGACATTTGAACATGAGAACAAATATGTGCTTAAAGGCCAGAACGCAGCATCCAGGGTGAGGGTGGCAGGCAACATTTCGGATGGATCGGACAATTTGAAGTTGGTTCTAGAATCCAATCCCTAATTAAAACATAGTTTTAACATGAGATGGCACGGCTCTACTCAACTCAATTCGCCTTTTTTTGATTTTCCATTGGAAAAAGTTGTGGAAGGTACTAGGCAACACCTCATTACAGCTCACTTCACAGAGTGTAGACATTAATCTGTTTGGTTTTTGGCCAATGTTGCATTGAAATGATCTCAGACATTTAACAAGGTGTCGCTATGACAAATAGTTAACAATCCTGCCTACATTAGAGGGTAGAAAACGAAATAGAGAAAAGGACCAGGTAACAAGAGTGAGTTGAGTCGAGCCAAATTAGGCATTAGAGCGCTGTGATTTGAACGTGGACTACATTTTTAGTAGTAGCATTGCTCTATCCATCCTTATGTGTCCTGTAATGTGTGAATTAAGTTGAAGTTAAACTTTTCCACAGGTCTTATAAAAGTCAGAAAGATAGCTATATTACAGATGAGTTGCCTGAAAGGGGCTTTACTTGAAAACCTCTAGAGAAAATGGTTTTCATTCCAAAAGACAGATTACATTTGTCACACCAAGGATGATTTTGGACTACACTGATGCAAAAACAAAACAAAAATGTCTGCCCAAAGATCAAATCTAGATCTAGTGTCTGGTCTCTTGTGTCAACATTTTATCCAGGGAAAAAAGTATTTCCAGGAAGACAATAGTTGCACAGATAAAGCCACGTTTGCAGAATGAGGATTATTGCTGCTTGACTATAAACTCCAATGATAGACAGCAAAAGAGAAGAAAAAGAAATGAGACAAACTGTTGATCATACAGTCTCTAACATTTTAAAATCCCACCACTGTTGTGACAACTCTCACGAGTGTGGCAGTTTCCTACAGTATGATCACTGCTTATAGACAGATGCGATGGGAACCTAATCCTCTCTTTGTGCATTGCGCCATTTGTCTACAGCGAACTCTCTGCAATAGGGTCAAAAGCGAGGTCCCCTAGTGGTGCAGCAAACTACACTCGTAGAGAAGACACAAACAGTAAAAGTGTAAACGACTTGGGAAATAAATCAATAAATACCACAAACTTAAATAAAACATTTTATTTTCCAGGAATGTAATCCCCATACTGTAAATCCTGTAATCTAAAGGAAGAGGACTGACTTCAAATGGTTGTCTTGTGTATGTCAATCACTGATTGAGAGATCATGTGTGTGGTTCAAACTGAAAAACGGAGGGTTGAAATATGAAGCTATCGGAACCTGTAAGCACTCAGTTTCCCAGTAAAGCTACTAGGCTCCGAGGCTGCATTCAAACCAACAATAGCACTGCGTTAAAGATATGCAGCCTCATTCATGTCAGTGAGACCAATATGTTGGTCCAGTAGTCCCAGTCTTAGTGGAATACTTTGCAACAAGTACTGCCAAAATCTTCAATTTATTTCTCAGTTGTGTAAACAGAGAATAAAAAAGGTTCCGACATGAAAACTTTCCAAGGTTAAATGCGGCCACATACTATATAAAGTATTTTATTGTCTTGAAACCTTGACATTTATAAATGTGTAATTCAAACTGAACTCCATTTTTCATATTTCATCTTCTCTTATAGCACATATAGCTTCATGCTTGCATTTGTTTTCATTCGTTTTTGGTCAAATTTGGTCTATAATAACTCTTCTCTTTGACTATTCCTGGTCTGGGTCCAAAACAAAACTCAAAACAGAGAACAGAGCTAGACAATTATTTTGGAAAAATAAAACAAAAGTTGTATAAGATTGATGTGCTGTGTGGAACAAACATAGCTCATCATCTGAGCAGACGAAAAGGAGGAAATATAGTACATCGCAAACCCATACACAGAACATCAATGCAATATATGAGAAAATTCATTTACAGTATATCACATTAAAAGTGCTGCATCTGTGGTATTTAGGATGCCTTTGTGCTTTAGGAAGTCTTGTCATTCTTCATTTAATGCAAAACATGAACAGTAGCTCTTATTTTCTTAGGGTTTACATATCATCCTTAAAATGAATCAAGGCAACTCAGGTCAAACCACAGAAAGCATTCAGGTTGCTTTGCAGTAATAACATTCTGTTTCCAGAACCCTGAAAACAGTTTGGAGTACCCTTTATCAATCTCACAAAGATCTGTTTGTACTCCCAGTTTATTTACCAACAATGTATCAGCCTGTAACCTAGGAAATACATGCATGTGACAAGGCACAACCAAAAATACACTAAATCATTTCAAATCTGAAGCTAGTAGTAGTAGTAGTAGTAGTAGTAGTAGTAGTAGTAGTAGTAGTAGTAGTAGTAATAGTAGTAGTAGTAGATAACTAACAGGCATCCTGAAGACCATCTTTTGTAATAATTTCTCTGTTTTCTACTATTTACCAAGTTGCAACAAGTTAACTTAACAACTATGCATTTGTAATAGCACTGAAGCTTCAACTGCCCAGTAGATAGATACGGGATTATTTGTTATATTAACTATGAGCAGGCTGAATTCAGAGTGACCCATTAAAGATGTAATACATTGTTAATATAGACTGTTGCAATACAGAACATCATTTGTATGTTGCTCTTGTTGGGCTTGTAATCCTAACATGGAGATAAACATAATGTAACAGTGAAAATTGGCCTTTTCCATTTCACTATATGCATTAAACAATATTTGTTTTGCTTTTTTCAAACAATTAAATCCGTATCACAAATGAACAAAAGTAGTCACTTAAGTTGGCAGACTGCTACTATTGAAGTTGAATGTCTTCAACACTGCCTGCTTACAGTATGTGCCCATGTGCATGTCTATCAGTTTTGACTACTGATGTTGCATATCAATTGTTGCTTCCTAAAGTCTGTGACATAGCTTCAGTAAGTGCCATAAAAACATGATAAAACTAAAAGAACATATAATAACTTACTTAATACTTAAGTATTTACTGAGGTCAATCAAGAAAGAAAGACTGTATCAATGTAAACACTAGAGGGTGCTGTTGGACACATTTCCCCCCTTCATGCACTGAACATCCCCAGATAATAACTTATGTGGAATGATTTATAGCCTTTAAAACTACACAAATCAGAGCTACAGTCTCACCACGGGATGAATTCAAATGTTCTCATTATGATCTGAATGTGCCCCTTGCTCACTGTTTACTCTGTCAGCTGTAGTGAATCCTGGCCAGTATATTTATATTAAAAAAACTTCTGCAGTATCAAAGGAAAGCATGTACAGTATGTCGATGAAAGCAAGTGAGAAAACAATATTTCTATGCTTTTTGAGTTGCTGTTAATAAAATAAAATGTTCTTTCTCAATACCAAAACCAGAGAAAGAAAAAAGAAAGAAAGCTTTGTTCTTAACTCTGAATTGAATCTTATTTTTGCATTTCCCCTAACAAAGTAATCAATAAATAGAAGAAGTACAGACTCTGCATTACTTGTATCATAATTGTTGTTATCAGCTATGATAACAAGGTTTGCTCCGCACTCTGTCCCAAGCATCTGTTCATGTGAAGGTAGTCTCATGATCTATAAATACCCATCCCGCTCATCTCCCTGTAGGGATCTGTGTCTCACTCAGCTGGACATTTTCATATAAATACACCTTTCTCACTTTGGCCCGAGGCTGAACACCTTTCTTTATCTTGTTATTCCTAAACTCACCTTTTTCTTTCTGTCCCTATCCTCTTATTTGTCTTCTTCGCTCTCACACACTCCTGATGTCTATCTCCGAGTGCTTCTTGTGGTCCTGACTCTCGAGGTCCTCACTCGCTCCTTGGCTATCACCGAGGGCAGGGCTTCCAAGGTGGTGATGGCGGTCTTGGTCCAGTAGTCCACCTCTTTGAAGATCCGGTACACCCAAAGCTTCAGCTCAAACAGCGCAGTGGGACCGTCTAACTGCCAACACAATGGGGAGACATCACAAAGCTCTGCCTTAGTTTTTCTCTCATCACTCTCTCCATCACCACCAGTGGACATCAGCACCTACCTCTAATCCCTCCAAGCTGGGCGTCAGGAGCGCCGCGCCACCAGCAGTTTTTAGAAGTTCTCCGGTGCAGATCAAGAGATACGACAACCTGTCCTTCACCATCTTCCTCTGGGTCTCATAGTCACCCTTCTTCCCGCCGCCCAGCTCCTCCTCCTCTCTGGCGATGGCTCTCTCCAGCAGGCTGCGGCACTGCATCAGAGCTGAGTGGAGACGCCAGAGCTTGTCCCTGGTGTCCAGCTGCGAGGAAGGAGGAGCGACGGACACCAGGCGACCATCAACCAAAACATCAGCAGTGAAACTCTCCTTCTCTCTCTAGGGGGGAGAAAGACAACAGGGTGGGGGGAAATTAAAAACAGAAGGGAGATTTTTGGCAGGGATAGATACTGTAAAAGGGAAGAAAAGAGGGAGTTAGGAAGTCAAGTGCATAAGTGGAAGATTGAATAAGTACTAACATCACACTGACGACAGCCCTTTGGAAGAAATATTGAGCATAATTGTTTAGGAGGAAACAGGGATTTACTTCTGATGCAATAGGAATTCATCCAGCCTAAATCTTTTTGCCTCAAGGACAATATAGCAAACTCAGGAAAGCATGTTTCTTTAACAATGAGTGTATGCTCTGCCCAGTTCCAAGTATATCATGAAGTCAGAAGTAAACGTTTTAAACAAGGTACAAGTTAAAAATAACACTGAGGCAAAGAAAAAAACAGATCTGCCTGTAAAAGTCATCATCTTAATTACAACATCTTCAAAAACACATTAAAGGGCTTGTTCAACATTTTGGGAAATACACATTTTGATGGGAGTGGTATCAATCTTTTTATCTCTCTCTGCAAGTAGGCAAATAGACCTTTTGCAAAAATACCAAACCATTCACTTTACATTAATAATAATAATAATAACTTGAATTGATATAGCGCCTTTCATAACCTCAAGGTGGCTTTACAAAGAAACATACAAGGACAAGACATAGAGCTGCAATGGTTAGTCAACCAGTTTAATAATCGATGAATAATGTAATTCTTTTAAGCAATAATGTCAGAAAATGATGCTTATATTACTTTTTACAGCATATTAATTTCCATTTGGGTTTTGAACTAACTAAACAAGTTTTAAAGACTTTAAGAAAATGGGACAAAATTGTTTTAACTATTTTCTGAAATGTACGGTACAGCCACATTTGATAGACAGCATATAACAAGATAGCGTTGCTGCTCTCAGAGCTTACTTATGATCGGGCTGATTATGTTGACTAGCCACTTCTCAGAGATGACTGTAGCTGGCATCGACTCTGGTACTTAAGTGAGTTGTGAATCCCAGAGGCCTCCTTGTGACATTTTACTGAGGCGCTAATGTTGAACCCTGCTTGCAAGTTAGTACCAGTGTGACAGATTGGCCTAATGTGACCTGTGCGCTTCGAGAGTCTGGGGAATGTTTTACTGCTTCTGTGTTAATGTTGACTGCTCAAACTGAAGAGGCAATGTGATGAGGGCAGTTATGGATACCCCGCGAAGAAATACTGTAGTAAGAGACAATATTGTCATAGATCACTGGAAATTATGGTGATCAGGTAAATTATTTAGGGTAGGACAATGGGATGTCTCAAAAGTGTGTTTTTTTCCCCCAATGAATAGATAGAGCTGCAATGGATTAATGTGCCAAAAACTTCAATTTCTCACAGCCAAAGAGAGAAACCACAGAAGAGAAATGTACATAAATGATTGTATGACATGCTAAGACTTATCAAATCATGTCATGATGGGTTCACTGGAATGCATCTGTTGCTGGAGTTTAAGGGGGGGGCCGTCTTTTACATTAAAACTATGCCTGCAATGTCAGTGATGCAAACTGAGAATGAAAGAAGAAATTGAAGATAGATTAAAGAAAGGTCAAATCTTTGGAATGAAGTTATATGCCAGGCCGCTCCCTAGCTCCAAGCAACACTCATGAATAAAAGGATGAGGAAACCAACCAGGAAGTTTTAAAAACCCATAGTTCTCACACCTATAGTCAAAGAGACGCACAAGATAAAGGCTTCATGCCCAGGCATAGATGAGTTTGTGCCATAAAAACACCCACCTCTGTCATTCCAACCGAGTTAAGCCCCCTCCATTCTTCATTCTTACCCCCTGCTGTCCAACATTATTTGTCTTTCACACACACATGCACAAACTCATATCCTCTTATCTAGTTTTTGCATGTATCCTTTTTAATCATTCTTTATCCATATACTTCTCCAGAAACAGTCAAATGCACACACAAAGTAACAGGCACACTTGTCAGAGGACACACACAGAACATAGGCCTATATTAATTTTCCATTTAAACTTGGCCTACTTCTTTCTAACATACACACACACACACATACACACACACACACACACACACACACACACACACACACACACACACACACACACACACACACACACACACACACACTTGCAAGTATAGGCAATGGAAACTTAGGGCTCCTCTCTACTCACATAAAGTTCCAGTAAGATGGAGCACTCATATCGCAGCTGCTCGGCTATACTGGCGGCCCGGGCCACGGTGCTCCTGCTCACATCCGGCCCGGTCATACCTCTCGTCCTTCTGGCTGCCATGGGACCTCCAGCTGCCTCTACCCGGTAGACTCAACAAAAGCACACTTGTGGCAGGAAAGCAACAGGCTCCGTATTATACGCCCACGTACGCCTGCCTCATTCCCGGTCACCGTCACGCTCTCCGGACTCCGGTCAGTGCCGCGTTCATTAAGAACCAGAGCCAATTCACAGCTCCTCTTAGCTTTCGGTAAAACGAGTTTGTGTGCTCACTGTTTGTTACTTATGTTACAGAGATCGCGGCCAACTCTCCGCCCTTTCCTCCGGGAACCTGATGCCAGGCAGGAGGAATTTAACGGGACGAGCGGGGGCGGAGAGCAATAGGCTTATTGCTTGGACCATCTTTGTTCGCTATGGGAAAAAGTATTACAAGATCACAGCAAGTCCCTATAATTATTAGAAATAACGTTGACTGTCATTTATTTTTTATTTTGAAGAAGGCTATTTCTACCTAGGCTACTTGAATAGGATTACACTGTTTTGTGTTGTGTGTGCTTCAGTTTATAAAATATGATTTTTAATCTTAACAAAAGTGTATACGCACAATAACAAGTGTATTCTGCAAAAGGGACTCACTCACTTCGCGTACCGACTAAGACAAATAATGTGTATTATCTATGAAGTAGCTACTTCAGTATTTTCATTCAAGGTAGATCCGGAATACTGGTTCAACAACTGGTCTTACATCTATTCACTTTTTTGTATTTAAAAAAGCTTCAGCTAAATGTAATAATAGGCTACTTAATAAATGTATACTCTGTTTTTCTTTAGCATGTATGAGTCTATAACATTACGAATAATATTTAGGAATACAAAATCCCTCTTTGCAATGTTTACCAGCCATTTTAGTAATTCAACTGGAAACTATACAATATTGATAACATGAAACATTGTATTGTTCATTGTTAAGGGTTATTGTTCAAGCTTTTCTCATTGAACCCAGTATGAGAAAGAACTGTTGAATGTCATATGGGCCTGTTTTACTCTTTTTACCAACAGGTTGGTGTGTTCAAATGAAGCCTCATGAGATGAACCCTTTTGCGAACCTTCATCTCGCCATAGGACACTCAGAATATCTCAAAACATGAAAACTCACAAATATAATAAAGGAAATGAAAACATAAAAAGTCCTGTACCTTTGTGTGTTTCTTTCTCAGAGCAGCACTCAGAACATCGTTGTCCCCATTCACACAAAAAAGGTTGTTATTATATCGTAGCTACTTGTTATTTACATTTTTTTTTTTGTTGCAAAATTAACTTCCTTAATTCAATATTTTTTCGAATTATCTATCGAATATATGTTATATAACATTTTTTTTTTAAAAACAATTTATTTAATTTGTATCAGTTTTAGTAAAACTTTTTTGTTCATATTACATTTCGTTAATAGTTGGGCTTTCAATGTTTAAAACACATTTGTGGTCCAGAGGTCTAAATATTGGTTTTTCATGCAGGTGTTTGAGGTTCAACGCCCAATGGACGGACAACTTGTGTCTCATGCTATGCTGATGTTAACCCTCCTGTTGTGTTCGTTTCTCCCCCCCCCCCCTTACTTTGGTGTTCGCGGTCAAATTTGATTCGTGGGCGCGGAGCTCACCCTCATCTCAAGTCCAAAGCGATGTCCTGCTCTGAATAACCCTTTAGGCTTGTTTGAGACAAGCAAGACCTGCGCAGACCTGCGCAGTTGCGATCAACGTCTTGCTAGTGCGTTGCATGATGGTTAGTCATTTTGTCCGACTTGCTCTGGAGGCCCGCCCACATGAGACTTTGAAATCTCGCGGGACAAAGACGCCCGCAGCCTTGAGAGCGAGGCGAGGCGAGTTGGCGCAGTTGCTCTCCACCGGCTGCGGAAGCGAAATGCTTGATGGGAAACGGCTCGCTGGTATCTCGAGCTGAGCGCTCATTGGTGGTTTTTACCACGTGCTGGTGATGAAACTCTCCAATTGGCTGGCAAAATGTTGTTGTTGTTTTGTGTCAGTTTTACGTCGCCACTTCCATTCACATTTTTCATCATTGTTCCACAATATTTATCATCATGAAATGAATATCTATATATTTTATACTATACTTGCACTGCTTACCGTTTTCATACTTTATATATCTTAGCATATTCATACACACTGTTCATACTGCTCTCAGGCTGCTGTGTATATCTAGTGTATTCATACCCCTCACTGTTTATTCATCATTCAATTCATTCTATATGTTATTCTGTAGATTGTGTACATTACTTTTCACTTTACTGCTTGTTGCACCTGGTTAGAAGCTAAACTGCATTTCGTTGTCTCAGTACCTGTAATATGTGCAATAACAATAAAGTTGAATCTAATCTGGAGCAGGAACAAATGTATTTACTTAGTACATATCTGACATTAACGATTAAACACATGTGTGCATTCTTTATAAATGCAAACCGAGTCAAGCCGACTCCGGAGGTGGCGGTATGCACCTTAAAGTTGTTTGCAATCCGCCAAAAAACCGAGAGAAGAAGAAGAAGACGAAGCCGACTCCGAGCATGGACTCCGAGCTGTCCGACTTCAGGCGAGCTTTTTGAGTTTGAGACCTCCCCCGGCTGCGATCGGCTATTCTCGTCTACTTTCGAGGCGAGCCGCAACGCGTCTCAAACAAGCCTTTTGTCTTCAGTGTCTGCACCTGGCCTTGCTTCTTTCTATTGCAAGCTAAAACTTTATTGCTATGACTTTTCCCTTCGTTCCTATCCAACCCATCAAAACTTGGGATTGGTGATTTTGTCTATTTATTCCAAAATCATAGAAACATCTCATGAGCACAATAAGCAAATAATGTAATAATAAGAATCAGTCTTATAATGTTATATAAAAATAGACTCCACAGTTTCAAAGTTGACTAGATCATCCAAAATTCAATGAAAGTGGTGATCAGCAATTGTATATGTTCAAATGTATACTGTGAAGGATATCATAAAGCCTTAATTCAATCAAAAAAGTAATGATTGATGAAAGTAGTAAATCGGTCAGATTTGACCCGAACACAACAGGAGGGTTACATCTGAAGAAATTGTCCCCACCTCTTTTTCTAACAAAGTGTATGAAGTTAAATGCAGGGCAATACAGCAAAGATAAGACTGAGGCCTGCAATAGCTTTACATGTGAATTGAAATAAAGAAACGTAAAAAACACTGGCAACATAACTCTGGGGAAATCTCAACTTGACTTATTAATAATAAATTAATAATGGATTGTAGATGCAGTACCGCGCCTGCGCAGAAGGTGTCAGTGTAGGCAGCCGGAATGTAAACACCGAGCAGCGGCTAAATGACCGCAGCTAACGTCAGACCCTGAAACTGCATCTTTAATATAAAGAGGAAACCGGAATGATAAACTATTTCCACGCTGTAGAGTTTTTGGTTGATTCAGCCGTTTATTGTGAGATTCTAGCTATCCAGCAACAGTATTAGCGTGCTTACATTTTGAGACCAAGCTATCCAGCTAGCTAGCTTAGCCTCGGTTGATCGTTAAGTCATGAACTCTCTGGTTGGCTACGGAGTGTCCTCAGAGTCTGACAGCGAGGGAGAGGAGGACGTAAACAACGGTGCAGTAGGGTAAGTGTTTACTTACTTGACACATAATGTCGGACACTTGTAAAGGCTAGCTTTTTGTTAACGCCTCTGTCTCTCTCTGCTGCACATTTTTAAATCCTGAAGGTCCGTAAAGAAGCTGTGTGATGAAGCATCCAGTGGCAGAAAAACCCGCAACTTCATGCTGGAGTCTGTTTCAGCTTCCAGTGAATCAGAACCAGAGGAAGACTATCCTTCTTCATCACCACACCCCCAGAAACCTGCACCTCCTCCAGCCTGCCATCCCACCCTGCCTGCTCCTTCCCTGGACTCCATCACCTCCAATAAGCTCCCTCCTCCTCCTCTGCACACCTGCTCTGGTAGCAGTGTGTTCACCAACCCTTTCAAGGCTCAGGCCGACCAGAAACTCAGTGCCTTGCAGAAACATGTCCCCCTCACAATGCAGGCCAAACCCTCCCAGATAGGAGGCAAAAGGATGTGTGTGGCATACAGGAAAAATGGAAGGTGCCGGTTTGGGATCAAATGCAAGTTTGCTCATGACAGTGACCTCCAGTCTCTCACTGATTTACCTGTGAGTGAAGAGACGCCGGATCAAGAAGAGGCCCTCGCAAGCGGCTCAGGATCCCAGAAGGAGACAAAAGAGGAAGAGTCAGCAGGCCAGCAGGGGAAGAAGAGGAGGGTTGGACTGAGCAACACCTTGATTCCTCCTAAACGAGCTATGAAGCAGTACGCCATACAGAGGAACAAAGAGCAGCTCCATATGTCGTGATGGAGGTTTTCGGAGCTGGGCTGACATAAAAGCAATACTACTGGGATTAAATATATTTTCTAAGTATGTATATGTTGTAGGAATTGTGCACTATCTATTTCTAGGACCCATTAATGACTCAGGCATGCATTTACATTCAGTGGTGGTTACTACTTGCATTCAGTATTTACAAATGATAAAGTCCACAAATAAATAATTCAAATAATTAGCTGCAACATCAAAGTGGTGAACACAAAATGTATCAATAGTTGTATACCAGTAATATTACATATATTGTTATAAAATTGGGCCTTCAGAGTACTTGTCCTTTTGGTTCTTAAAGTATATTTTATTGCTTATCATTTTGTACTTTTACTGATCTAACATTTAAATGCAGGACTCCTTAATGATGTTCTTAAACTCTCAGTGAATACACTTTGGATAAATGTTAAGACATTTATTTACATCTTATAAATGAACATTGTTTGTTTGCTCTACCACACATCCTATATCACTCAGCAGAGAGGTGCAGATTTAGTATGAACATATGCTCCAAGGTTTCTACATAGCCTTGTTTTTTTTAATAACATTACACTTGAAAAGGTCATTGACAAAAACATATTTTTAATTGTCTAATTCAATGACTATGCTTGCTGTTATTTCATGTGAGGGTTACAATATGCAAGGTCACCCTCTGGCTTACTATATGCGAGTAGTGCATACATAATATGGGTTATTATTCCTTCAATGTCTACAGCCAAGCTTAAACAGCTGCCAGTGAAACGGGTTTAATGACACTGCCATAAAGCTAAATAATGCATATTTTGTGACTGTTAACAAGACTGTACATTTAAAAACATATTGTGTCCATTCCTTTTCAGGTTTTGAAATGTTTATCTTTGTCCGATAGATTTGTTATTTTTTCGTTCAACCTCGCCAAATAAAGGCTTTACAGTGAAAAATGAAAAAAAATAGCTGCCTATTCATTTGAAAGGTTTTCTCACCCTACACATACTGGGGTCTGTTTATAGCTTCTAATGTGTGTTTTGTGTTAATTCATAATATAAATAGTTGAATTAGTCCAGTAGGAACCTGGATGCCACACACTAGTTGTGTGCTCTAAGTTACTAAGAGGTATGCTATATTATTTGCAACATAACCTCGGCATCATTACACACACTCGCATAAAAGGCTAGTTCAGTTGACAGGACTTATGTACAAAGGCAACAACTTACACATACAGACACAAACATATCTTTTCCCTGAAACAGTTATACTAAAAAGCTACCAAATATGACTATAAGTGAACAGTCCATAATATATTGGTGATCCTACATTTACCTTAAACATTGCAATACAGTGTATCAGGTCATTGGTGACAGTCTGCCTCTATTTTCTGTGCACTATTGTTGTTTTACATGATGATCGGTTGGATCTCCCCCGTCTGCCCCCAGACCACACTGTCCTCCCCGATGACTCCCGTCTGCACAAGGGAGCCTGCTTGCGGAGATGAGGACGAGAGCACCGCATTGTCCAGAATAAAGCTGTCCCCGTTGGTTGCGGCTATGTCCTGGGACTGGGACATGAGGGGGGGGCTCATGGTCTGAAGCTGTTGGGAGGATGCTAGAATGGGGATCTGCTGAATGTGTGTCTGTGACTGGCCAACCGGCTGGAAAGTCATTTGGAGGATTTGTGTCTGGCTCTGCTGCTGGGATGAGTACATCTGAAGAGGGTGCAGCTGGGGCTGGTGCTGGGTCACCACGGAGCCCGAGTGGAGGGTCAGCTGTTGGATCTGGGGCTGCTGGGACTGCTGAGCCTGCACAAACTGGACGGGCATCTGGAGCTGCAGGTGAGTTTGCTGCTGGTTGTCAGCTGGCGACGGGGGGTCGGTGGAGGACAGGGCGATGGTCACTGGCACCTGCATGGTGTGTAGGCTCTGGTCTTGTCCCAGTAAAACCACCTGGTGACTCACCTGTTGGGTCATCTGGGACACTTGAGCCATGTGCCCTTCGTGGCTCAGATGATCCGCCTGCACATCCTGTCCCAGCTGGCTCACATCCCGGCTGCTGACCTCTGCATGCTGGGGCCCTGGCAGCTCCAGCATGGAGGCCGGGGTTGTTATGAGGGCACCCGCATTGGCTGCAAGAGCCTCAGCTATTAGCACCTCGGGGTGACTCTTCGCCTTATGGGCCACCACACAGTCCTTCTTCTCAAACTTCTTGCCGCAAATCGAGCAGGCGAACTGATAGGTGGCATCGGCATCGTGCTTCTTCATGTGCCAGTTCAGAGAGGCCTTCTGGCGACACGTGAAGCCACAGATTTCACACCTGTGAGGGACAATTGAATTCACTTAACTGATAATGGAGAAATCCTGGGAAAGCAAACAAGCAATAATTGTGAACAGAGCACTCACTGCAGCGGCTTCTCTCCTGTGTGGATCATGCGATGCACAGCCAAGTTGTGGGAGCTCTTGAAGGCACGAGCACAGAACTCACAGATGTAGTCCCTCTGATCTAGAACAACAAAACAATCAAATATAGATGTGTTCTCCATAGACTTTCACTATCAATTATAAATAGAACCCAATGCATGTTTTATGTTTATAGTGTAGATGTACCTGTGTGGTGCTTTGCGTGACGCAGCAGCTGCTTCTGGAGTCGGAAAAGCCTTCCACAAGAAGGGTGAGGACAGACGTATTTCTTCTTGAGCAAGTGCTGGTACTTTATATGGTGCTGGTGTTCAGAAAAATATATATTAATAAACAGGAGGTTGGAGCGGTGAGCAGAAGGAAAACAGAACAACACAAATGCTTTAAGTTATCTACAACAGCAGGTATGGCTGAATAATAAGATATTTGTATTTATTTATTGGTAGAATCAGAATATGTTGTGCATTATTTAATAATTGATAATTGGATCTTCTATTCTCTAATCTCAAAAAAAATAATTAAAGGGGACCTATCATGCAAAATGCACCTTTGTACGTCTTTTATACATGAATATGTCCCGGGTGCGTCAGGGAACTCACCAAGTGTCAGAAAACACAACCCTCTCTCTTTTCCTCCGTCCCTAAACTCTAAAAACGGGGCTGCAACGGATCTGATACAGATTTGAAATTGTTCTGACATCAGAAAAGGGGAGCTCCGTCTATATGGGCAACTCTCCACCTATCAGGGGAATGAGAGGTTGCCGTGGCATGGTAACAGCATGGTAACATGACGCTCGTGCCTCGCCCCCCTCCTTTGCAGGGGGGCGTGGTCAGCTGCAGCTCATGTGCCACAGAATCAGCCCTTGTGAAGACAGGGCTGGAATAGAGCAAATAGAGCGAAATGAGGCATGGCTAAAATGCATGATCTGTTTGGTATTTTGAAAAAAAAACTTCACAGACATATTTTATATAGGTATGGCCCTACAATATATTATTAAAATATAGCATGATAGGTCCACTTTAAGTAAACACTTTCCCAGAGAAGTATAAAATATAATATATAAATAATTAAACAAAATATTATTAAAATCTATCATTGATCAACTGTCCAACTGGGATGGACATTTAACCTATTTTCAAACATTTTAGGGACCTCAACACTTAATAATAAAAACAAATAAGTCTATATTATAAATAACTGTATGTGAAAGCTTTAACCCCTATTTAAGGCAATTAAATAGTTTGAGTCCCATCCCCCTTTCTGGTAGGTTTCTCTAGATGTTGTGAATCCATGTTATTTTGTGTTGAGGCACTTGAAATAGTACCGTTTCTGTGTACTTAATGTGCATGGACTCTACCTTATTGTGTTCAGAAACACTAGAAGCAGGTTTTTTTTAAAACTGTTTTTGAATAAGCTTCTGTAGGAATGTGTTGTTGAGAGACAGACCTGTAGGTAGCGAGGATGAGCCAGGACAGTCCCACACCCCTCCATCTCACAGCGCACGTACTGCACCGGGGGCTTCTTCCTGTGGGGGTGAAGCACATGTCATTGCGATGTCACGGCTAAAACCAAACATTAAATGGATCTTTAAATCCTCATTGACATCTCAGACATCCAAAATGTCTTCCTCACTATGTCAACCATCAATCACTACGATATGCTTTATTTCTGGATAAAATTATGACAGGCAGTCCCTTCAATTTGAATATAACAAAGTCCAGATTACGATGCTCTGAAACAGACATCGACTTTACCTTCTCTTTGGCAGCCGTGGGGTTTTATCGTCTTTTTTCCGTCTGCCTCTCCTAAAGGAAAAGAAAATTCAAAGTTGTGTAGCAATAGAAAACCTTACATTACATTCAGACTTTACATGCACAATTAAACGTAAATATGGTTAAAGTTCCTGACAATCTGTTCTATTAATAACTTGTGCTTACTTCCTGGGTCCATCCGGGTCCTCCAGTACTTCATCCTCTAGCTTTACTTCCTCTTCGAAACTCTCCAAGTTGTCCGAACCTTCTATTTTTATCTCAGCAACCTCGGACTCTTTTTTAGGTGCCTTGTCTTTCTCTTTCTTCTCCTTCTGTCTAGGAGGAGCTCTGCGTTTTGGTTTAGGGACATCCCTTAGAACAGGAAAGAGGAAAGTCCAGTCAATAAACGAAAATAAGGTGCCTGTTTTTGTCTAATTTGTCACACAAAGATAACACACACACCTTTCCTCCTTCGGGTCGTAGCTCTGGTCATTTAAGTCATCTGTATAAGGAAGTTCTTCATCACTGCTGAGACCCTCTGCTTCCTCTGCACCACTGTATGGAAACCAAACAAGTCATTAGAAAAATATGTCGCCACCCTCTGCCTGCACCAGGTCAAATTAATGTGTTTGAGGTAAGCGTACCTTTGACTCTGTGGCTGATAGCCAAGGTCGTCTGGGTCGTCCAGAAATGTAGGGTCTTCATCATCCAAGACTGGTACAACAACATCCTCGCTTCCCTCATCCTTATTTTTACTGAGACAGCGTAAGTGCAAAACAGAGCAGTCATCAATACACAGCACCTCTCTCACTTTAACAACACACAAGACAGTACAGTATGCTCAGTGGGCCATAAATATACACAAACACAACACAAATATGATCATGATATATGTAATGCAGACTCTCCGCTGTTAAAGCTTATACATGTATGATTACAAAAACAATTCTAGTAGGTAAGTAAGACCAAGTAAATATATAATTGTACGACTGTAAAATCCTACATAATCTCATCTTTAAAGGCTCAGCTCACCTGCATAACAAAATGCAAACTTTCCTACTGTTCCTAAAAACAAGTCATAACAAGTCATACGCTTTTTATTTGATCGATTATAACAATGTTGATCAAGTGATTGTTATAAATATCAGGTCATATGTGTATTTCATATTATGTATATGTATGTACATTTAGTAAAAGATTAGAATTCATGCTCCGAGTCAAACCTTTTAACACTAACAATGTTCATTTTATTAATGAAAAGGGACAAAGATATACTCACGTGTCACACTTGTCTTTATTCCTTATCTCTCCTTCCATTGCTGCATGACAAAGAAAGACATCATTTATTTGAGAGGCATAAAAGCATACTTTTGTACAGCCATCACTCAACCAAGTTCATGGAAGTGGAAAGGATTGCACCCAGATGTTTACCTCAAAAAGGCGGCACTGATCCCTTTAGTCACACTGAAAATCTACAAACACTACCCCTCGCATTTCAGTTAAATAGGATGTCAATGAGGGTTTTCTATGAAGTACATATTACCCAGGGTAGTGAGCATGATGCTTTAGTGCTCTGCATCTGCACAATCTGATTTGTGAATTATAAGCCCACATGTTGAACCATTGTATGCCACAGTCAACAGGTTTCTCACCAGCTGGGTTCTCCATCCCAGGTTCGGTCTTACACACAGGCTTGGCAGAGGTGCGCACAGCTCTGCCAGACGGGGGCTTGGCACGGCTCGAGGCTGGGGGGCGTCTGGAGGATAGAGCTGGAATGAGGAAGCAGAAACATG